TATATAGATATCTATTTGTCTGTCTGAGCCCTACCCCCACTCTACTCCTCTCATGCATTAGGGGTCCAATCTTGAGTGGGCCCCTCTTTTGCCCCTAGCCCTTCCCCTGCATCTCTTGGCCCCTCTCTGTTCCTTGGCCCTGTGCCCTGAGGTTGGGGAGAACTTCGAAAGGGGGACAGGGAGGAGATAGACTTCGCTGTGTGGGGAGGGTGGGCATGACTTCAGACTATCCCTTCTCCCTCCCCTCCTCCCAACTCTGGCCTTTGATTCCTCCAGCAATGCTGAACAGGGGCCATTACAGAAAATTCAACCCCGAGATGGGGACATAAGCAGGGTTTGGGGGCTTGGGACCCAAAGTGGTCTTGGAGAGGAGCTCTGGAGTGGAGGGGACTAGTAAGCAGGGGGGTTGAGTTCCAGACATATTAGAAGTGGAGTCCAAAGGAGAGGGGTGCTCTAGAGCATTCTAGAGTGAAGCTGAAGGAGGCTGAGAGCATGGTTCTAGAAAGAGTGGAGCTTTGAGTGAGGCAGCTATGGGCCCCAAAGTGGGCAGGGCTTGGAGTAGGACTTGATTCTTTGGAAAAGGTGTTACTAGGGGGCTTGGGGACAGGGTTTAGAAGAATGCTAAGTGTTCTGGAAGGGGTGGGGCTTGAACCAGGCAAGTGGATGAGGCTCCAGAGTGGGCAGGTCTTGGATTAGGACCCGAGTCTACAGAAGGGGTGTGGCTTGGAACATTCTGGAGACTCAGATGGATTGTAAAGTGGACTGGCAAGAAGGGGGATTCAGGAATGGGCCGAGCTTGAGTGAGGATGTGGTCAGGGTTCTAGATTGGGCAGGGCTTAGAGTGGGGCGTGATTGGCGGTTTCATAAGGAGCAGCCTGCCCCTCTACCTCGCAATGGGGCAGTGAAGAAAATATGTTTTAAAGTGGGCAGGTTTGGCAGTGACTAGGGCCTGCAGGATGGGTTTTGTAGGGGTAGTGGGTACTATCCCTGGCCAAGCCTGGGGCCTGGGGAGAGCTGAGAGATATGGTTTGAAGGGTCAGGGGTGGGATCCAGAGAGAAGCACCCACACACACCCTTGCCCACCCCTACGACAGGACAGCTAGGTAATCAGAGGACAGAGCCAATGAGTCTGTGGGGCCAGCCCACCCCTCTTCTCCTTTTCTCCTGCCTCCTCCCTCCTTCCACACCCTCACCCCTCCTGGGGTGGTTGGAGTCTTGATATGGAGCCCCTATCTTAGACTTTCTGCTGTGTCTGTGATGTCAGTAGTGCCTGTGACTGTGTGTTGCCATTTTGTCTGGCTGTGGCCCCACTCTCACCCCTCCAGACTCCCTCACCCTTTCTCCTGCCCTTTGGTATTGTTTGAAGACTCCTTCCCCGAGGAAGAACAAATATGATTAATTCTCTTCCCCTAAATAAACTCCTCAGCCACCTAGTCCATTCGGCTCAGCCTTCTCAGTGTGTCTTTTTTGGGGGACACAAAGGGAGAAATGGGGGAGAGGAGGTGAGAGGAAGCTCCACCTCCTACCTGCTGGATGCCGATCAAGTTACCTCACCATTTTAGACTCCTCCAGTGGATTTGTCCGAGCAGCATCCTCGGCGAAGCCTCGCCTGCTGATTATTCTAAGAACCCTGCCCAACGCCCCACTACAGGCCACAGAAAGCCCTGTCTTTCTAGGGTTCTGTTCTAATTCTAGTCCCTTAGCCACATGCCTTCACAGCTCTGTCCTCAAATCCTCAAGAGCTTCGAACAGGGCCCACACTTCACAGGGAGACTTCCCTCTACCCTCCTGTCCCCATATTCTTCAGACTCTGCTGTCTCTCCATTTCCTTGCCTCCGCCCTAGCTGGAAAACCGGGAGACCGGCTAGGCTGCGAGGCCGAGAGGCAGGGTGCTAGGGTGACTCCTTAGTTCATTCATTCCCTTTAACCCCTCCCCGACTCCTCCCTGGGGCCAGGAGAGGAGGTAAGTGACAGAGGTGTAGGTAATAGCACGGGAAATCCCCGGTGCCTATGATGAAAGGCCCGCCACGCCTAGTTAGAGACCCGGCTAGGCCCCTCTCCTTCCAGCCCCAGGACACTGGAAAGCCTGAGAACAATGAGAGACACTTGGCTCTGGGGCTGAGCTCAGGGAAAGGGATGTGTAACCACAGAGAGAAAAATGGGAACAAGGGAAGGAAGGTTTTAAGATCTATTTTTCAGGACTGACGTGACATCTGGGCCTGTAAAGATGGGAGAGAGAAGGGAAGAGGGCACGGGAACCTGGCCAGTGATTTTAACCTCCTCCCCATAAATCTCAAATAATCCTGGCTCTGAAGCGATGGGAGCCCCTTAGGGGTGTATAAGATCTAGCTGTCTGATGGGGGCGAGGGAGCACCAGATGGGGCTACATGGAGTTGAGGACCACTCTAACAGCATTCATCCGGGGGAGAGTTCCTCGGAACATCACTAGTGGGGAGGGGGCCAAGAGGTGACTTTAACGACTCCCCCAAATAAACATCCAAGATAAATTAACACGAAGCGCCAGTACAAGTACCCTAGCGCCCCACCCCTTGCAGTCAGGTCGCCACTTCCAAGTCCTCCCTCCTCCACTACAAAGCCCTCAAGCCCTAGAAAGTCCCGTAAAATGCCACGTGGCATCTTGGGGTTCTGGAGCCCATGGGAGTAGGGCAGGGAAGCTCTCTTGCGCCGCGCTGCTGGGTTGCGTGCCCTTCACCCCTAGGCAGGGGGCGCCTTTGGCCCCAGAGAGACTACAGGCCCAGGGGCGGGAGCTGCAGGGCGCGCTCCTCCCCCGCCGGTGTCAGGTTTACGGAACAGAGCTTCCAGGCTGGACGCGCGATAACCTGTAACCTGACGGCCGCAAGGATTCCATTCGCCTGACCGGCTCGGCTTGACCCTGCCCGCCCGCGCCATGTTCGCGCGTGGGTCCCGGAGGCGCCGCTCTGGGCGCGCGGTGAGCGAGACTCAGGGTAGTGGCGGGGATCTGGGGTAAACTGAGGCCTAGAAGAGGGGGCAGGGGATAGCGCGGAGGCGCTCCATCGAGGCTCTGGTAATCCCCATCCCCAGAATTCCTAGACCAGATTGGCTGGGGCTGCTGAAGTATGTAGATGGAGGAACGTAAAGATCTGTTGATCCACGATCCCTGATCACCTCTACGCACACCTTTATCAGCAACCCAAGGACCTAGTGTGCGTCCCTCTCGTGTTAATTATGGAAGGAGATTCTGAAGGCCAAAAGATTGGGTCTTGGGGTCCTGGATGAAACAGTGGTCTTTTGAGCTTCTGAGGGAAAGGACCCCCCCCCGCCCCCCGCCTTGACTTTGGCAGAAGGTGAACTGAAAAGTGAGGTCCTACATTCCTGAAGTGCCCGATACTAAGGGTCAGGGGATTGGGATTTGGCGAAAGAGGGCTTCCAGGCTTCTACTTCAGCGAGGGAGCCTTTGACTTCCTAGATAGGTGGATCTCTCTCTTCCTTTGGAAGTGGTCTGTGGGTGGGGTCTGGGCTCGGTGGTCCAGAGGAGTGAATAGCCCTAGAATATGAGGGTAAGGGCCAAGGCTTCTTGGGGTGAGGTTTCTGAATGGATCAGGGGCCTCCTGAGGTCCTGGAGGAGGGTCTCCAGTTCCTTGGATATGAAAGGGTGAAGTCAGGGTTTGGGCAGGGGCCAGGGAGTTTTATGTGTGGATTCCAAGTAAGGATGGGGTCTCAGACCCCTACCCTGTGGAACTGGAGTGCTGCTGGCCTCGTGGGTGGAGAAGGGGCTGAGATGAGGTCTGAGGAAGACACTCAGATTAGGGACTCTGTACTCTGAATGAGGGGAGTACTGAGTTCTGGGGGAGGCGTTTGAGCCCTAGAAGAATCACAGGCGTGGCGAAGGGGATGTTCAGGCTGGATGGGGGGGAGTCTGAGACTGGCCTGGGGAGGGGAATCCCCTGAAAAGAGAGTATATAGGGAAATGGCCTCAGCTGTCCCGCCTCTACCTCTGTTGTGTCCCCCTCCCCCGCGCTGCGGGCGCTGTCCCAGCCTGCCCAGCGCTACCCTGGTGGGACAGGCCCCAGCATGCAGTTGCGGGCCTTGGAGTGGAGAGGCGGGCGTTGATTTCTTCCACCCCGCCCCCTCTCCTCTCCGGGTCCCGCGTCTGACCCCGCCCACTACAGCCTCCAGAGGCAGAGGACCCGGACCGCGGCCAGCCCTGCAACTCCTGCAGGGAGCAGTGCCCTGGCTTCCTGCTGCATGGCTGGAGGTAGGTGGTCACCTCGCCTTGTTCAGGGCCTCGCCTTCAGAGGAACTGCCCCAGAGGCTTAAGCTACGCCCCTAGACTGGAAGGGGGGCGGTGGGAGAGGGGGGCCATGGTGGTCCACAGTGTAAGCTCAACTGGGGAAAGAGCTTCCTGCTCCAATTCAGAACCCCACCCTCTGACTCATTCCCTATTGTCCCATTCCCAAGAGATCTCCACCCAGGACACAGCCCCAGACCTGCCCTCCTCAAGCCTGATCCCCATCCCTAGGGAGATCCTAGGTCCTGGGCTCTGAGGACCGCCCACTGACCTCCATCCCCCTTCCTGGACTAGGAACTCCTCTCCCTGACCTAGTGCCCTATCCTCCTACTGAAGTCCTGTACCCAAAACATCCCATAACATACCACAGACAGAGCATTATTCACAAGTTCAGAGCCTCGGCATAGGCTAGAGTCCACCTCCAGGGAAATTTCCCCCACAATGTCCAGAACCAGCCCTGAGGGTAAGCCCCTAGCTGTATAACTCCCAGTCTCAGACTCAGAGCCCCGCCCCTACTCCGGCCCAAGTCCCTGAGTTGAAAGTCTTGAGAAGGCCTGGAGACTCCTGCTACAGCCCCACTCCTTCACCTCTTGTCCCCAGGCTCAGCCCCACCTCCTCTCAGCCACGCCCCCAGGCCCAGGGTCCTTTGGTAGTGATAATCTACATGTTTCTGCCCCTGAGTTGGACTTACTTGGGCTGTTGAGGGGTCCGAGTGGACTACCCTTTAGTAACTGACCCCCATCCCGGCCCCCTCAGAAAGATCTGCCAACACTGCAAATGCCCACGGGAGGAACACGCGGTGCACACGGTGCCTGTGGACCTGGAACGCATCATGTGTCGGCTAATCTCAGACTTCCAGCGCCACTCCATCTCCGATGATGACTCGGGCTGTGCCTCAGAGGAGTATGCCTGGGTGCCCCCTGGCCTCAAGCCGGAGCAGGTGACCAGAAGGCACCACCCACTCTTGCTCTCCAGTGGGTGCGCACACGACACACACACACACACACACACACACACACACACACTCAGATGGAAACCTGTTTCTGGGGCAACAATAGGGTGTATGGTCAGACTGTGCCTGTCTTCCTGAGCTGTCTGTGATCTAGGAGTGGTCAGCCCCCCAAACTTGCAAGAAACCCTGAGTGATCACTGGGCCATTTCCCCAGGGCCTGTTCACCCCTTCCCTGCCCTACCCCTTACCTCAGGGGTTCTCCCAGCACTCCATTCACCACATCTCCATTGATTAATTCATTCAACGGACAGCAATTGAGCACCTACTGCATGTCAGACACTGTTCCAGACACAGACACAACAGTGAACGAAACAAAACAACTAGATTCCGGTAGGGAGCGACATTTAATAAGCAAACACCTAAATAAAAAATACGTCAGATGGTGTAAGGTTCATGAAATAAAAAAAGCAGAGGGGGGGAGTGGAAAGAAATTTTAGAATTGTAAATAGGGTGCCCAAGTAAGCCTGTGTGAGAATATGATGTTTGAGCTTCCTGAAGGAGGTGAAGAGTGAACTATGCAGAAATCTGAGGTTAGAGCAATCCAGCCAAAGGGAATAGCTAATGCAAAGGCCCTGAGGCAGGAGTATGCCTGTGCATTAGAGCAGAGTGAGCAACAAGAAGAGTGGAGGTGAGGGCAGAGAGGTGGTGGGGAGGGGCCATGGAGGGGACTTGAACATCTACTCTGAATGAGGAAAAAGCCACAAGAGAGTTGTGAGCAGAGATGGGATGTGATTTGTCCTAGGGTTTAACAGGATTCCTGAGTGTAGAACAGACTGTAGGAGTGAGGGTAGAAGCAGGGTACCAGTGAAGGGGAGACTACTGCAATAGTCTAGGTGACCCATGACAAGTGCCGGCAGTAGAAGTAGTAAGCAGTGGTCAGATTCTGGTTATATTTTGAAAGTGGAGCTGAAAGGATTTGTTTGTGGGTATGTGAGAGAGAGGAATCAAAGATGACCCTAAGGGTAGTTGGATTAACTGCTGTGGGTCAGGCCAAGGCAGGAGCACATCTAAGCATAAGTTTGGTTTTGGCATCCAGATGCCCATTAGATATCTGAGCAGCCATGTTGCCCAGGAACTCAAATGAGAGGTCATAAGGCTGGAAGTGTGCGTTTGTGAGGCATTCGCCCCAAGATGGCATCTATAGCCATAAGGTTGGATGTGATTCTCAAGCAAGTGAAGGGAGACAGAGGCAAGAGGACCAAGGACTGAGCCCGAGGACCCACCCATATTTTGGGGTCAGCTAGTTGGGGAGGAACCAAAAGAAGGACAGAGGAGTAGCCAATAGGTTTCCTTTGGGTAAGAGGAAACCCAGGACGGTGTGTGTCCTGGAAGCCAAGGGAACAAAGCGTTTCCAGGAAGAGGGAGTCATCAGCTGTGTCCATTGCTATTGATGGGTCAAGTTGGATGAGGACTGAGACCTGAACAATAACTTTAACAATGTGTATATCATTGATGACCGTGACAGGAACAAATTTAGAGGAAGGGCAGGGACTGAAGGGGCAGGGAAAGCTAACTGGAGTGTAGTCTGGAGAGAACTGGAGGAGAAGAAATGGAGACAGTGAGTGCAAACAGCTCTTTTGAGAAATTTTTTCTGTAAACGGAAGGAGAAAAGTGAAGCAGCAGCTGGAGGAAAAAGTGGAGTCAAGACGTGAGGGAACTCTCAGCATGTTTTTGGGAGGTGACGGAAATGATCCAGCCTGGAGGAAGGAGAGATGGAGGAAGTCAGAAGTTCTCTTCTGATGACTTTAATTTTCTCAGAGAAGTAAAGACCCACCATCCCACTGCATTCCAACTCACCCCTGGTCTGAATTTCTTCTCCCATCCCCCATGTCCTCTCAGGTATACCAATTTTTCAGCTGCCTCCCAGAGGACAAGGTCCCCTATGTCAACAGTCCCGGGGAGAAATACAGGATCAAGCAGCTGCTGCACCAGCTGCCTCCACACGACAGTGAGGTGAGGAGAGAGAAGACAGGAAGGGCATGCCAGGTAGGGGCACAGCCTGGGCAAATGCTGGGCTGCTGGAAAGAAATAGGCAGGGTCAGAGGAGAAAAGGTGAGTTGATCTGAGGTGAAAGGTCTGGAAGGGCAGGGGCAATCAGGGGACATTTCTTAGCAAAACCACAGCTGGGCCTTGGGAGAGGAAGGAGGTCAGGGGTGGGTATTTCAGGCAGGAAGCACCATCTATACAAAGACCTAGAAGTAAACTTTTTGAGCGTGGATGAAATTTGGGAGAGGGTTGGGGGGTGGGGACAGACATTAGGGGAGGGCCCTGGACGACCCCTGCTACTCTAGGCACAGTACTGTACTGCACTGGAAGAGGAGGAGAAGAAAGAGCTCAGAGCATTTAGCCAGAAGAGGAAACGGGAGAATCTGGGGCGTGGCACTGTGCGCATCTTCCCAGTGACCATCACTGGGGCCATCTGTGAGGAGGTGAGCCATGGAGGGCCTCTGGGAGTGAGTGATGCCTTTGCTACAAGCCCTGGGGTTCAGGGCCCATCTCCCAGGCCCTGGAAAGATGAGGCCTGCCACTTAAGCCCTAGTGGTCTATCTCTAGTGTCCCCTCTGGTAGATGGGGTCTTTTCTTCACATTCCACTGTTAGGCAGAAACCATCTCTAAGGCCTCCCTGGCCAGTGATGACTGTATACGGGACCCCCTGGTGGATTTAGCCTGTCCCTCAGATCCCACTGTTAGGTGCAGTCTGTCTCTAAGGAGGCCCTAATGGACCTTCTTCATTAATTTCCTGCCCTCCACCCAGTGAATGTGGGGCATCAGCTGTCTCTCTTGTCCTCTTGTGGTCAAGATTTGTCCTTAAGAGCCTACTTACAGTGGCAGGGCCTGTCTCTAGAGCCTGGTGGTGGGTGGAATTTGTCTCCAAGGCCCCCCGGTGGGTGGAGCCTGATCTTAGATACTACTGTTAGGTGAGATCTGCTGCTAAGTTCCCCGCAATGGGCCTGGCCTGTCTCTATGGTTTCCCCAACCCCGCAAGGGTGAGACTTGCCTTTGAGGCTACCCACAATGAATAGGACCTGTCTTTGGTTTCCCACAGGAGCAGGGCCAGTTTCTAAGGCACTCCCCATCCCCCATGTAGGCAAGGCCTGTCTCAAAGTTACCCCATAGATGAGGCCAATCATGAAGGTCCACCATGGGGAAGGCCCAAAGTATGACACATGCCTTGGCTGATCCCCATCCAACTATCTTGGTGAGGGTAACAGTGTCTGTCATCTGGCAGTGCGGGAAGCAGATTGGAGGTGGGGACATTGCAGTGTTTGCCAGCCGTGCAGGCTTAGGTGCCTGCTGGCACCCCCAGTGTTTTGTGTGCTCCACGTGCCGGGAGCTGCTAGTGGACCTCATCTACTTCTACCATGCTGGCAAAGTCTACTGTGGTCGCCACCATGCCGAACGCCTGCGCCCACGCTGCCAAGCCTGTGATGAGGTTTGTGCCTCTCTGCCCAGGGCTGGGAGTGCAGGGTGGGAAGTGCCAAGGGCAGGCCCTGCTGACAGCCACAGATGGCCTGCGCCCCACAGATCATCTTCTCCCCTGAGTGCACGGAGGCCGAGGGCCGGCACTGGCACATGGGTCACTTCTGCTGCTTTGAGTGTGAAGCATCTCTAGGAGGGCAGCGCTATGTCATGCGTCAGAGCCGCCCCCACTGCTGCGCCTGCTATGAGGCCCGCCACGCAGAATACTGTGACAGCTGTGGGGAGCACATTGGTAAGTAAACATGGCACTGGACAGCTGAGCCACAGCACCCCGCCCCCATTCCTCCTATCCACCATTATCTCCCATACTTTCGGTCTAGCTCTAGCACCACAGACCTAGACCCTTCACTGCAATTCCTATCACCAATATCCCCTGTCCTGCCATACTTTCTAACCTCACCCACACGGCACTAAGATCTAAGATCCACTGCTTTCCCACCAAGATCATGCCCCACCTTCTAAGTCCTGCCTCAACGACCAAAGCCTCTTCTTCAGGCCCACCTTCCAGTCTCCTACCTGAAGCCACTTCTTAACGTTTAAGCCTGACCCACATCTTGGAGTCCAATGCACATCCCCTACTCTGGGAGGGAGCACCCTGGGAAAGAAAGGGAGGAGGAGAAGGAGATATTTATCAGCCAATTTCCAGGAGAGAAGTCTGAGGAACCCTGCAGTGAGGATTAAACCTCGGGTTTCCTGCTTTCTCAAGAGAAGTGCCCCATTTTGGAGAGGTGGGGGAGAGGGCGTTTCTGAGTACCCTGCCTCAGATTCGTTGCCTCTTCTTGAGAAGAGCCCCCTTCAAGAGGAGTGGGGAAATGCCTGGAGGCTCCGCCTTAGTCTTACCCCTCCCATCATCCCCACAGGCCTTGACCAGGGCCAAATGGCTTATGAGGGCCAGCACTGGCACGCCTCAGACCGCTGCTTCTGCTGCAGTCGTTGCGGGCGAGCCCTGCTGGGCCGCCCCTTCCTGCCCCGCCGTGGCCTAATCTTCTGTTCGAGAGCCTGTAGCCTGGGGTCTGAGACCACCACTCAGGGTCCAGGCCGCCGCAGCTGGAGCACAAGCACAGTCTCTGCACCGTTTGCAGCTTCGACAGCCTCTTTCTCTACTGTGGAGGGGGCGTCTGAGACCGCCAGCAAAGGCACCAGCACGGAGCCATCGCCTGGTGAGTTAACCCTCGACTCAGGCACAGCCACTCCCATGTCCTTTATCCTCCCCCTCACCGCGCTGCAACCCTGGCCCCTCCCCGTGAGCCCTTAACCTGTGGCATCCCTGGGCCCACCCCAAAACCACTCCAGGCCTAGTCTCTACCCAAACTTCATCCTCTCATGTACCCTGGTTCTGCTCTCCTGTACAGAGCCCTCCCCTACCTCAACTTGTACCTGTTTGAGCCCAAGTTCCTCCTCCTTTCTTCCAAACACTTGACCCTCCACCCTATTGCAAACCTAATCTGTTCTAGCCTATGCCATGCCCCCATGCATCAATCCAGTCCTGCTCCTCCACTCAGAGCCTGTCCCAGGCTTCCTATTTCCCGGACTCCCCACTTTGTTGCCCCTCTCTGACCCCTGCCCCACTTTCCCAGTCACAATGGGGGAAAGGAAAAGGCCCTTCCACAGGCCTCCCCTGAGAGAGGGGCAGATACAGGGACTCCCCACATCTCTCTTTCCAGCCGCAGGCCCTGAGGAACCCACCCGCTTTCTGAGAGGGGCCCCTCACCGCCATTCCATGCCTGAGCTGGGGCTCCGCTGCGCCTCCGAGCCCCCCACAGGCACTCCAAGCCAGCCGGCCCCGGAAGATGGTGCCTTCAGTCGCCAGAGCGCCCCACGTGTCAGCTTCCGGGACCCTCTGGTGTCTGAGGGAGACCTGCGGCGGACCCTGAGTGTGCCCCCAGCCCAGAACCGCAGCAGGCCTCGCAGTCCTCCTCCCAGGGCCCCCCGCCGCCACCACCATCACCGCTGTCGCCACTCTGGCAGACACTGCCACCATCAGTGTGACTCGGGATCCGGGTGGGACTCGGAATCTTGCTCCAGCTCACCCCGCAGCTCTAGTTCCGAGTCCTCAGAGGACGATGGCTTCTTCCTAGGAGAACGCATCCCACTGCCCCCGCACCTGTGCAGGTCGGTGCCTGCTCAAGATACTGCAATGGAGACCTCGAATTCCCCATTTCCACCACCCCCAGGGAACTCACGCCAGTCCAGAGACAAGAATTGCATAGTGGCCTGAGGCAAGGCAGTCCTGGGGGCTCCATTCTCAAATTGGTGTAGCTGTGACCCACCCCGCAACCTGTCATAAATCCCCTTCTATCCTTTGTCCATTTGTACTGTTGAAGTAATTTAATATTTGGTGTAAAACAGGCCTGTTGGCCTCCTTACTTCAGCTTCCCCCCTTCCCAATTTTCCTGCTGCTGATGCTTGAGATTTTCCACATTTGATCAAAGGATTAATTTATTCATTATCATCTAACAATCCGTTTATTATTTATTTATATGTATCCCTCCACAGAACCACCCTCCACATGGAGGTTATTTGGAGTGGGTCACAACCTGGGGTCTAGAGGCTGAAATCTGAGACACCTTTCTCATTTTGTGGCTTAGGTGGGGCATAGTCCAGGCAGAATTGGTGTCTCCTTTTGGATACTGCAGAAGGGGACAGAGGCATACCCGTAAAGGTAGCCGCACCCAGGAGGGTGATTGGCAGGCTGGAAGACAAGTTCTCCCAATAAAGGCACTTTTACCTCAATAGGGGGCTGGGTGTTGGCTGCAAGTGTTGTAGGGGTGGGGAGGAGTCATTTCAATGGAGGTGTTATTTGCAGGTTGCAGAGAGAAATGGAGTTCACCTACACCGGGCCATCTGCAGGGTCTGTTAAGTAAGGAAAAGAGAGAAAGCATTGGTTGGATCCATATGCCCATTTTACAGACAAGAATACTGAAGCTTATGATACTTATTGGCACTAAAGCTACAAGCACCAATAAAGGACAGAGATGGCATTCATGCCCTTAGGAGACCCCTTCTCTCCTCAGCACCCTCAGCAACACCCTCCTACACACACACTTACCAGTAGGGGCTGCTGTATGTCTTTGCTGCTTCAAAGGGAAGGTGTCATATGCATCAAAGCCAAAAAGGCACGTAGCAATTAGGCCCAGTACCTGGGGGTTGGATTAGGCTGGTCAGCCTACTCAGCCTCATACCTCCTTGTACCCACCACTTCCAGTAACTGCCCCATGTAGGGATGGTGACTAAAACCCCAAGTTGGGAAGCCAAAGAGCCCCAGGGAAAGGCCAGGAATTTAGACTGTACTCACGCCCTCCCTCTTCCTAGTAGGGTGGCCACATGTGGGCCCCAAATATAGGCGGGACCGTTCAGTGTACATTTGTGACAAAGTTTTAGCAGATGGCATTCCAGTGCGTTGACAAAGGTCCTGTATTGGGACGAGGATGGCCTTTTACAGTAAATGATGATCTTGGGAGGAAACCAGGACCTGGGCCAGACTTTACTACAGGCCCTGAGGATAAATGTGGCCTGCTGTGGGTCCTACACTTTCTGCCAGAAGCAATCAGAAATGGCCCCTGGATCCTCAAATCCTGCTCTCTGTGCTTTGGAGCTGCCTCCAGGGCCTTTACCCCTGCGATGATTTTGGAGTGGTGTCCTCTCTCAACAAGGACAACAATGGAGGTGATCAGGTAGAGGATGGCTGCTATAAGGCTTCGGAAGAAATCCTGTGAGGGGTAGGGAGAAGAGGGAAGTCAGTGTCCAGAGTTACCAGGATAATCCCAACTGCCTGCACCCCTCCCTAGCCTTGTCATTTCTGGCCCCTTTCTCACACTCCAAGGCCAGTTGATGATCTTTATCTTGGTGTTCAGGTCACACATGTAGATGACAAAGAAGATAGCAGCAAGGATCATCTCAAACACCGACAAAGAGGAGTATGCTGATGTGGAGGCACTAAAGCAGATCAGAATCACCAGGCACAATATCTGGAAAGATGACATGAGGAAGCGGGGCCTCCGTCAACTCCCCGGGCTGAGGGAATGGGTTGAAAACAGGGGTCTCAAACTCACATACCTATCAGGACTGGGAAGATGACAAATAATCATAGCTAAACATTTACTGCGTGCACGCTTTGTTCCAAATATAGTTCTAAGAGCTGTACGAATATTAGTTCACTTAATTAACCCAACAACCTAATAAGCTGGGTACTGTTATTAGTATCTTTATTTTGTAGATGAGAAAAGTGAGACAGAGACATTAAGTGACTTGCTCAGGATCACCCAGCTAGTATGGGGTAGAGTTGGGTGCTTTAGTTTCCTCCGTTTTTCCCCTCTAAGATAGAGGCCGCCTGGGGGAGTGGCCCCACCAGGTGTTTCACGAGCACTGCTGGAGCCAGCATGAGGCCTTGACTAGGCGGGACGTGCGGTTCCCCTGGCAACCACTTTGAGAAGCGGTGAAAGTGACATGGGAGGGGCAGGACTGCGGTTAAAGGCGCCGCACCCTTTTTACAAGTGACTCAAAGGCGGCTCCCACTTTCAAGGGGGTGGGAAACCGAGGCTCTGGAGCAGCCGAATAGCTAAGGACCTCCTGCCTCACCACAGAAGGATGAGGAAGAACTGGAGAAAGGTGGGGCGCCCTACCCCAC